CATTCAGCAAGCAGCCGGCAGCAAAATGCAGGGTTCCCTAGTTCTCACCACCATTTATTACATAAAGCATCTTTTTTGTTTTGCTAGCCCTACTTTAATATGTTACTGCAAAATAGTGGCTTGAAAGAGCATAGTTCTCGGGGTCAGAGTCTGAAATGAATCTCACTAGGAAAAAAATAAGATGTTGACAAAACTCCATTCCTACTTAGAGGCTTGAGGGGACAATCTGTTTCCTTCTCTTTTCTTTTTTCCTTCTCGCCTTCCCTCCCTCTTTCTGTCCCTCCTTTCCTCTTTCCTTCCTTTCCTTCCTCTTTCCCTCCGTTCCTCCCTTCCTTCTCTTCTCTTCCTGTAGATATACACGTGTTCAACCATCCCCAGCCCGGTTTAATAGTTTCTTTAAAAGTTAAGCGTTTGGCATTTGCTTTGTGTGGCTGGCCTTTGGACCCCCAAACATCTCCATGTGGTCCCCTGAGCCCATCCAAGAGTGATCTCTGGGTGCCGAGCCAGGAGTAAGCCCTGAACACTGCCCATAGGGCCTCAAAACAAAACAAAGTTAAACACTAGGGGGCAGAGAGAAACTAGAGCCGATAAGGCTCAAACTAGGAGTGATCCCTAAGCACAGAGCCAGGAGTTAGCCCTGAGCACTACCAGATGTGGCACACACACACAAAAGCACATACAAGTTTAAATAAGAGATAAGTCCATGTGACCCAACATTGCCATGTGAAATGAAATTTTATATTCACCAAATACTTATTTGTAAATATTTATATCGACTTTGTTCATAATAACCCCAAATTGGTAGAAGCTAATATCTTTAAACTTAAAAAAAAACCCTGTTACATTCATACAGTAGAGCATTTTATAACAGTTAAGAGCCACAAACTAATAATAAACCTAACCAGACTAGGCCATCAATGCGGACATCTTACGGAACTTAGTTCCAAAGTTACATGATTTCTGATCTCATGTGTATGGCTCTCTGGAAGTCTTTTGGTAGATAAAACAGATCAGTCCTTCCTGCCAACAACATTGAGGGAGTAGGAATGGACTCCAGATATCCTGAAAGGAGTTTTCTCGTATGATAAAACAATTCTATTTTTTGATTGCACGATTAGCATTTTTTTCAAAATGCAAAACAGTACAAAGTAAAAGGTAAAATTAGCTCTATGTTAAATTGTATTGTACGTCATTAAAAATTGTGGACTGAGGGCTGGAGTGATAGTACAGCAGGTAGGGCATTTGCCTTGCACACAGCGGACCCAGGTTCAATCCCCGGCATCCCATATGGTCCCCCAAGAACAGCCAGGAATAATTCCTGAATGCAGAGCCCAGGAGTAACTCCTGAGCATTGCCTTGGGTGTGGCCCAAAAGCCAAAAATAAAAAAATATGAACCATGGGTCAGAGAGATGGTACAATGGGTAGGGGTGCTTACCTTGCATGCAGCCGACATGGTCCCCAGCATCCCATATAGTCCCCTGGGTACTGCCAGCTGAGACCCCCAAAACAAAACAAAATAAAATCATGGACCTGAGGTATGAGGCATTGCTTCCAGCCCTAGGTCTGCATTTGATCACCTTAGTACTGTCAGGAGCAAGGCCAGAGAGAGAGACAGGAAGCTAGAACCATGCCAGGCTTCCTCCCAGACAGCCCTGGCTGGGACCAGTTATCACTGCAGCCTCAGCTTGGGACAGGCCTTGGCTGCGTTGTCTTCTCTGCCATTCCGGCTCAGCATCTCTTCCCCTGGGCAGCTGACCAGCACTTCATGAGATGAGCTTCCAAGAAACTACCCACAGCAAACCCTGTCCTCTTCCTCAGACTGAAGACACAGTGCCAAGTGGGGAGGTGACCCATCCCATGGCAGGGACAGATGCACCTCTGTGCTGTCAGATACCCTGGGATGTCAGCTGTGGGTCTGCATCTGGATCACAGTCAGCTTCCAGATATGCGTGGATGGCCACTAGCTCTTAGCCATGGACATCGTCCCCCCCCCCCCCCCGGGAGAAATGGAATTATCCACAGAAGGGTTTTTGTTTTGTTTTTTGCTTTTTGGGTCACACCTGGCGGTGTAAAGGGGTTACTCAGGAATTACTCCTGGCAGTGCTCAGGGGACCATATGGGGTGCTGGGAATCGAACCTGGGTCGGCCACGTGCAAGGCAAACATCCTACCCCCTGTGCTATCGCTCCGGCCCCCCACAGCAGTTTTTGTTACAGCTCTGGTGGCTGCTCTCAGAGTGTGTGTGTGTGGGGGGGGGGCTGTAAGGTCAAAGATTCTGTAAACATGCTTCAGTTAAGAGGACGGGAAAAAACAGATTTCTCACCCTTACTGACCTTAGTGCCCAGGTTCAGAAATGCTGGCATTGCGGTCTAGAATGTAGCTTGGCGGGTTAGCATGCAAGCTTTGCATGGGTTCGATCCCCAGCATTGTCTCATTTTCCTGAGCATGGCCAGGAGCAGGACCCAAGCATCACTAGAGGACTAGCCCCTCAGCCCCACCAGGCACAACTGAAAAGCTAGGAGCAAAAGGCAAAAAAAAAAAAAAGAAAGAAACATGTCAGGAATTTGGCTCAACGCAGAGCACTTGCATGTGTGAGGCCCTGGGTTCAATCCCCAGCATCTCCCAATAAAAATGTTAAGAAAAAATTGATTCAAAATCCCCTTGTGGCATTTCATAAGCACCCATTCACCCAGAGTCAGTTGGAATGCCATGAGAAAATTATTCTTGTCCATTCCCAAAGGGAGGTCATATTTAAGAAACTGCAACACTTCAAGGAGGGCTTCATCTTGTTTCAGTAACCCGTATCTTCTGTAATCTGCATGTCAAAAGCACCATGGGTTAAAAATAAAAAAGTGGGCCTGAGAGATGCTATAGCAGGTAAGACCATCAATTGTCTTTCACAAGCCTGCCCTAGGTTCCATCCCCGGCACCCTATATGGTCCCACAAGCCCTGCCAGGAGTGAGCCCTGACTACAGAGCCCAGGAGGTAGCTGTGAGCACGGCAGGGTGCGACTTAAAAACAAACAAACAAAAAAGCCCCTAAACAAAAAAGTACCAATATTTATATGAGAACAGTTGTAATTCAAAGTTTTACCAATCTGTCTTGGACGCTCAGTTGAAACTTGACTGTGAATGTTTTACTGTCACTATGACTTGATCTAAATATCAAGAGATTCTGTTAATGAATTGTCAAAAGGGTGGCACATTTTAAGGCAAAAAATTAATGGAAAACCAAATAATTGCTCATAGATGATCTAAGGTTCAGTCACATCACTCCAGATCCATCAGTACTATTGTAGCTCCAGGCTAGTCATCTTAATCATCTGAAATGAATTGCCATCACCCGGAATAATAAACCTTGTAAACTTTAAGGCAAACTTTCAAAGCATACCAGAAAGAACCTTTTAAACAAGCAGCTTACTCCCTACCCCTATGTCCAAAGGCAAACAATTTGCCTACCATATACTTTTAAATAATCAATAAATTTCCTTAGTATAACGTAGGGAAATAAAAGGTAAAACTTACGGATAAGAATGTGCCGTATTGGAAGCCTGCCTCATGTGCTGGGGGAGAAGGCAGTTGGAATTAGTGAAGGGACCACTAAATAAGTGATGGTTGGAGGGATCGCTTGGGATGGGAGATTGTGCTGAAAGTAGACTAAGGACCAAAGATGATGACCTCTCAGTATCTATATTGCAAACTATAATGCCCAAAGGAGAGAGAGTAAGAAGGAAGATGCCTGCTATAAAGGCGCGCGCGCGCATGTGTGTGTGTGTGTGTGTGTGTGTGTGAAGGGGGGGTGTGGGGTCTGGGGATGGTGGGAGGGATACTGGGGTCATTGGTAGTGGGAAGTGTACACTGGTGGAGGGATGGATCTTTGAACATTCTATGACTGAAATTCAATCATGAAAGCTGTGTAACTATCACAGTGATTCAATAAAAAATTTTTTTGAAAAATAGAATGTGCCTTAAGAGCAGGCCATAGAGATAGCACAGCCAAGGAGGAGCTTGTCTTGCACTCACAGACCTGAGTTTGCTCCCCCCCCCCATCACATATGGGTCCCTGAGCTACGCCAGGAGTGATTCCAGAGAACAGCAGGGCGTGGAAAAAAAAATAAAATAAAAAGAATACCATCTTAAGTCTGCACACAATTGTAAGAAACCGGTAGCCAGGAGATCAGCGAAAAATTCTTGCCAAATTTCTATGCTTACACCAAAACCAGGAAAGTTTTTCCATGCAAGTCAGAGCAATGCCTGTGAAATCTGGGGCGCATTGGAATCCGGGGTGCGTTAAGTTGGTGATGGACACCTGGGGCATCCTACTGTGGATAACAAAAAAAACCATTTGCAAATCAGAACAGTTCCAGGGAAAGCACTTAGGAAGAAAAGAAATGACCAACTTCCACAACTCTCCCGGCTGTTGCCTTGCAGTGAGAATTGGAGAGGGGTGACACAGAATCAAAAATTGTTTTTCTCTGAGCACGTGTGTTTTTGCGTGCACGCCGTCGCTGTAAATGCAGTGATAAGGAACTGCTTGGTCCTGTCCTTCAGAGGAAACTTGGGCTCCAGAACAGGAAGTGCACATTGTGGGCCTAGCAACAAGGAGCGGGAGGCTCGAGGCAAGACCCCTGTAGAGAGCAGCTTGCTCACTGGCCTGAGCACAAAGGGCTGCATCAGCATGGGGGTGGGGTGGGGAGGTGGGGCCATAGGGGGGCGGGGTAGGGGCTTCAGGTCAGCTTCCGGACCAGCCAGCAGAGACCTGAAGCCCAGCTTGGAGGCAGCTTGATCAGGTACAGGTATTCCTTGAAATTGCAAGGATTTGGGATGAAAGGTGGGGGCTGGTTTGGTGCTGTCCACATTGCAGCTAGGCTGGCCCCTCCAGTGTGGGTTTATATTGGTAGCAAAGACTTGATTTTCACTCCCTTCACTTATGTGTTATCTTGGTTTCAAGTTTCATTATTTTCAAATTTCTCTTTATTTAGGGTCCCTATTTTGCCACAATGCAACAACCTTTAGAACAAGCTGTGGATCAGGCAGAGTCTATCATTGAAAGTGCCCAGCAGAGACCCCCTAAACGGAATTGCTCATCTGATGGAGAAAAATCTCTCCATCAAAAACTGTATGACATCTATGTTGAAGAATGTGAAAAAGAGTCTTCGATAATGCAGGGATTAAAAAGTAATGTGAACTTGTTAGAGAAGCTTGTTAAGAGAGAGTCACTGCCCTGTTTAATTGTAAACCTGTACCCAGGGAAAGAGGGCTATTCCCTGATGCTGAAGGAGAAAAATGGGTCATGTTCAGAATCCATACACCTGCCTTACGATGAAGCTGAATTGCTCGAATACTTTGATGCAGAAGAATTGCCTCCCATTTTGGTGACTCTCCTAGATAAATCTGAGATTGATATTTTTCACTCTGGGTGTGTCATTGCAGAAATAAGGGACTACAGGCAGGCTAGCGATGTGGCACCTCCTGGCTACCAAAGTAGGCATATTCTCTTGCGACCAACGATGCAGACTTTAGCCTGTGATGTACAGTCAATAGCCAGTAATTCCAAGGCATGGTCCCAGGAAGACAAGCTTCTGCTCGAGAGCCAGCTACTCTTAGCTACAGCCGAACCACTGTGCCTTGATCCTTCTGTCGCAGTAGCCTGCACTGAAAACAGACTGCTCTACAACAAGCAAAAGATGAACACGCGCCCCATGAAAGGAAACCTCAAGAGGTATTCTGCTTCCTCCCTGAATAGGCAGCAGGAGCTGTCTGGTTGTTCACCTCCTCCTGAGCTGAGCATGGTGAGTTCCTGCAAAAGAAGCAAAGGCTGTAGAGAAGTTCCACGGTATGATCTCAAAATTTCTGGGGGCAGTTATGTAGATATGTGGAAGCAGAGACCCTGTGACTTGGCTGTCCCTTCTGAAATAGATGTGGAGAAATATGCGAAAGGGAAGACGCCTGTCAGAGACTCACACCCAGTAGCCTGGTCAGCCCAAGAGGTAAAGGATGACTCTGGATTTGGATGTAAAGCTGGCAGACAGTCTCAGACAGCGGAGCCGATCTTCATGCAGTCACAGAGTAATCCACCTGTCTCTGAACAAAGGTCGTGTACAGAAGCCAGATGTGAGAGACCACTGTCTCCGCCCCAGTCCTCCATGGATGACCATTCACCAAGTATCAAGAGTAAGCCCGATCCTGGGAGCATGGTTGGTTCATCTAAGGAACTGGTCCAGATGGACATCATATGTCCAGACACAGTATCCACCAGCTCCAGCGGCTCAGCCAGTCTCTGCCTACTTTCCCAAGAGGAAGAAACATTCCAGTCTGAGTCCCTGCTGATTCCGAGTTCCATCCTGGAGAAGGGAAGTGACTATTCTGATCTCTCCATCACACTTCCTCCAAGCTCAGACAGTTCCTCATGGAACACTTTTACTCCGGAGCAGACAAGAAGCTTTTTCAGTTTTCTCTCACCTGATCCTGCTTCTCAGCCACCAACTCCTTCCCAGACACCCTCTGTGGAAGTGAATAGTGTCCAGGTGACTCCTACTGCTGCCCTTTCCACGTCATCACAGACAGGCCCAGCCCTGGCCAGTGACGACTCATCACAACCAACTCCAGATCCATCCACCGTGAAGCCCTCACAGAGGCCCCAAGTCACCCGAGGCGCTGCTGACCCTGCAGGACCGAGTAGCATCCATGTGGTGAGTCCTCCTCGAGCAGCACCATCTTTGGTAAGTGATTTTGACCCTATGCTGAGCTCTCTCTCAGTAGCCACGGCTCCTGCCGGTCTGAAGGCAGGTCATAAGCCTTCCAGAGGGCAGCCACCCCCGGCGCAGCCCAGTGCATTGCCAGTAAGTACTAAAACGGGCGTTCAGTTTTTCTTGAAAAGTGCTTCTGGTCTCAAGCCTGTGCGTTTATTGCAGCTTCCGCAAGGTTCCCTTGTTTTGAAGACCCAGCTGGAGCCGCAGGAGAAGCAACAGCTCGTTCAACTGATTCCAGCTCAGCAACTTCTCCAGCATCCCGCTGTTTCCCAGCAACCCACGTCACAGTCGTCCACTCTGCCATGTTGCACCAGTGGCCAGCAAGCCGTGGTCATTAAACTCGCTGGAGTGGGAAGTTTGCAGTCCCAGTCAGCCGCGTTGTCTCAGCTCAGTTTTATCCAGAGGAAGACAGGTCCGCAGCAGCAGCCTGCTCCCTTCTGTCTGACCACAGTGTCCACAGCCACGAAAGCAGTCACCACAACTTCAGCAGCAGTGGCCACGGCCAGAAGAGCAACCGTGGCCTCCACAGCAGCAGCCACAGCCAGAGGAGGAAAATTCATGATCTCCACCGGCGCAGCCACCGCCTCGTCCACCACAGCCACAGCCAGAGGAGCAACGGTCAAGATCTCCACAGGCGCAGCCACGGCTTCATACACCACAGCCATGGCCAGAGGAGCAAAAGTCATGATCTACACAAGTGCAGCCACAGCCTTGTCCACTGCAGCCGCGGCCAGAGGAGCAAAAGTCACGATCTCCACAGGCGCAGCCACGGCCTCAACCACTACAGCTACGGTCTCAACCACCACAGCCACAGCCAGAGGAGCAATGGTCATGATCACAGGTGCAGCCACGGCCTCAACCACCACAGCTACGGCCTCAACCACGACAGCCACAGCCAGAGGAGCAAGGTTCATGATCTCCGCAGGTGCAGCCACGGCCTCAACCACCACAGCCATGGCCTCAACCACCACAGCCACAGCCAGAGGAGCAATGGTCATGATCTCCACAGGCGCAGCCACAGCCTCAACCACCACAGCCGTGACCTCAACCGCCACATCCAGAGGAGCAATGGTCATGATCTCCACAGGTGCAACCACGGCCTCAACCACTACAGCCACGGCCTCAACCACCACAGCCACAGCCAGAGGAGCAATGGTCATGATCTACACAGGCGCAGCTACGGCCTCGTCCACTACAGCCACAGCATCAACCACCACAGCCACGGCCAGAGGAGCAATGGTCAAGATCTCCACAGGCGCCGCCATGGCCTCAGTCACCACAGCCACGGCATCAACCACCACAGCCACAGCCAGAGGAGCAATGGTCAAGATCTCCACTGGTACAGCCATTGCCTCAACTACCACAGCCACAGCCTCAACCACCACAGCCATGGCCAGAGGAGCAATGGTCAAGGTCTCTAGAGGCGCAGCCATGACCTCAACTACCACAGCCATGGCCAGAGGAGAAATGGTCAAGATCTCCACAGGCGCAGCCATGGCCTCAACCACCACAGCCACGGCCTCAACCACCATGGCCATGGCCAGAGGAGCAATGGTCAAGGTCTCCACAGGCGCAGCCATGGCCTCAACCACCACAGCCACGGCGTCAACCACCATGGCCATGGCCAGAGGAGCAATGGTAAAGATCTCTACAGGCACAGCCACGACCTCAACCACCACAGCCTTGGCTAGAGGAGCAGTGGTCAAGGTCTCCACAGGCGCAGCCATGGCCTCAACTACCACAGCCATGGCCTCAACCACCACAGCCATGGCCAGAGGAGCAGTCGTCAAGGTCTCCACAAGCGCAGCCATGGTCATAACTACTACAGCCACGGCCTCAACCACCACAGCCATGGCCAGAGGAGCAATGGTCAAGGTCTCCACAGGCGCAGCCATGGCCTCAACCACCACAGCCAAGGCCTCAACCACCACAGCCATGGCCAGAGGAGCAGCGGTCAAGATCTCCACAGGTACAGCCACAGCCTCAACCACCACAGCTGTGGCCAAGGGAGCAATGGTCAAGGTCTCTACAGGCACAGCCATGGCCTCAACTGCCACAGCCACAGCATCAACCACCATAGCTATGGCCAGAGGAGCAAAGGTCATTTTCTCCACAGGCACAGCCACAGCCTCAGCTGTCACAGCCACGGGCACAACAGCCAGAAGAGTCACACCCGTGGTCTCAACAGGAGGAGCCATGGTCTTAACGGCAGCAGCCAGGGCTGCCATGGCCACAGCCGTGGCCAGAAGAGCAGCGCCCACAGCAGGAAGAACAATAACCACGGCCCTTGGAGCAGCAGCTTCTGCAGCTGAGAATGTCCCAGTGCCCAGTGGCAGTGGTGGCAGCAGCAGTCTCCAGAGCCGAAGCTCAGGCCCAGCGGCCAGCCAGGCCACCTCAAGGTAAACTTCAGTGTAGGCCCATCAGCCAGTCCCAGCTGCTAGTCCAGGGTTGTTCTTTGTTTTGGAAAGGATTTGTTTTGTTCCTGTTGGCGGCCACCCCGTGCCAGTCCTTGGGTGCGACTCCCAACTCTGTGCTTGAGGTCACTCCTACAGGTGCTTAAGGGGACCTGGTTGTGACAGGGATCAAAGTGGGATCTCCTTCATGCAAAACCTGCACCTGGACCTTTGAGCTAGCTCTCTGCCACCTTGTTCTTTCTTTCTTTCTTTCTTTTTTTTTTTTTATTTCAAATAGCAAGAGCATTGGGCCTACAGAATTCCCAGTTTTGGTATCTGTCTTTGACAGGGTTGGATGTGTAAGTTTTAGTGAGAAGCACAACTTCATGGCTTTTCATATAGAAAAGGGATTTGAAGTGATTTTAGAAACTAGGATTGTCTTATTCAAGTCATCGCTTTGGCGGTCGCCATTCCCTTCGTTATTTTGAGTTCAACGTTCTAAAGTGTGTCCAAACAGACTAAGGCTCCCTTTAAACTCCTAAAGTTTACAGTTCCTCTAAGATGATAGAAGTGTATTCGAGTGATGTTCAAATGACTATGCCTTTTACAAGATAGACTTTTAAAACTTGAAAACACATAATAAAACATTCCATTCAAGCCATCTGAAGCGTACAATTGAGCGGTGAGGAGAGGCCCACCGTGTGCAATCCATCTGGGAATGGTTTTGTCTTGCTGAAGTCAAACCACCCACGCGAGCTTCAGCTCACTGCTTTCCTGGGCCGCCACCCCTCAGTTTTCTGCTCTGTGACTTGGACTTGTTTTACAGACATGGTAGAAATAGGATCTGAGTTAGGATTTGGGAGGAACTGGCTTATGTCACAGAGCCAAATGCCCTCAGGTTCATCTGTGTCGTAGTATGCAACAGGGGAGTTTCAGAACATGGCTTCCTGTGCATAATGTGTGTGGAAGCAACCTGTCGGCTCCAAGAGACATCTTTGCGAAGAAGAATGTACTTTGGTGTTTATTTCCTTTGACTTTTGTGTGTTTACTTGAAAAGTTTTAGGTGGTGTGTGAAGTGCAGCTCTTTTTCCACAAATGGGTTTTACCAAAAAATGTGAAAGCTCCCAGCAGAGGATGCTCATCACACTTGGCCTGAGGCCATGGGGCCTTGACTGTGCAGAGAGATGAGGCAGACATGGTTGTGGGGCGTCCTCAGACCTTTGCAAGGCCCCAACCTGTGCCAGGTGCCCCGGGGAGCCCGGGTCTCCACACTGTGGCCACTGGCTGGGACAAGGTGTGTAGAAAATGTTTGATTTCCCTTTTTAAAAAATCCTGAGTATGTCCAAAAAGTCCTACACAAGTTGCAGAAACTCTCAGTTCTTTGCATAAAAGCAAATGACAGTCAAATGAATGTAGCCACTGACTTCACAAAAAAATAGTCTATTTTTGTTGCACAGATCACATTTTAAAAAATTCTTTAATGTACCTTTGGGTTGTGTAACCCCTTTAGCTGTTAAGAATTGTGCTGCTCGAAACATTGGTGTCTAAGTGTTAGTTGGAATTTTAAGGTGAGAGTGTTGGTTTGAGTATAACTTTTATATTTTAAACTGTTGTTACATTTTATAATACCTCTTACATTTTATTTTAGTACAACTTTGAAAGCTCCTAAGTTTTATTTTATTTTATTTTATTTTAGTATAACTTTGAAAGCTCCTAAGTTTTTCCAAGTAAATGTGTGCATCTGTCTGCCTTTTGCTCTAACAACAAAAAAAGGGAGGGGAGATTTTTCTGGCAGTTGTAAACAAGAGGAGTGGAGAGACAGTAAGTGGTGACGTGCCTTCTTTAAAGCTGCTATTCCAGTGTGCTTCCAAATCCCAAGACAAAAGAATGATTTGAGACACCTCTGGGCAAACACATCAGAAATTCCATCTAAGTGATCCTGAGCCCAGAAGAACTTCCTGTAACTCATCCTGGACATCTCGGGGACGGTACCTGCACTTTCCAGACGTGAACCGGTGCAACGAGAAATTGCAAGATGAGTTTTGGCTGGACTTCGGTGCCTGCAGCTCAGACTCTCACCAGATTTCATGTCTTTCCTCCCTCTGACCTCTCTCTGATCCTCTGGGTAATATATGGAGAAGCCAGAAAACGTGGTTGAGTAATGTGGGACTCCCTTCTCAGGCAAACAAATAAATAACAGATCGCCATTTGGTGTTTGTCATTTGTTTACTCTTCTGGATGCTCTCCAAGGTTGCAACTTGATATAGAAACTTTTGAGGATATTTACTGGCTTGCTTAGGAAAAGCCTCTTCGACGTTTGAGAAGTAATATTAGGACCCCTGGACTCACTTCTCTAGCCCAGGTCTAATAATGCTCATTACTAGTTTTCTACAGATCATTTCTTTGGACTTAATGAGCTTGTGCCAAAGTCAGTGACCCCAGAGTCCTCTCACTTGGACAAAGAAAGTGGCCCAGCTGGTCCTTTCAGGAAAATCCAAGCAGACCTGGTATAGCAGGACACGTGGGCAGAAATTTTTCCTTACCTGTCAATCTACATTTGAATAGTCAAGTTCCCTATGTCCCTGTGACCCCATCCCAACTTTCTTCTTCTTCCTCTTCTGCCTCTTCTGCCTCTTCCTCCTCTCTACTCCTTTTTTCTTTCTCTTTTTTGGTTCTTGGGCCACACCTGGTTGTGTCCAGGCCTCACGCCTGTACTCAGGGATGACTCTTGGCAGTACTCGGGGGACCATATGTGTTTGCTGGAAATTGAACTGGGGTTGGCCGTGTTCAAGGACCTTAGCCCTGTTCTACGTCTCTGGTAGCTCCATCCCAACTTTCATGTCTGGTCCTGCCAGCCCCTGGCCTGGGATAGCCCTTCCTGCTTTCCTATTTCACTCCCATACTATCAGGCAGCAAAGGGTGTGTGAGTTAATTGTTAAATTCAG